CCCCTTGGTGAAGGGGTGGTGGAGGGAGCTGGCATGGTCCAAGAACTGGGCCTTACCCTCCAAGCCCTGGGACTGCCCAGACCTGCACCAGGGACCCCCGCCAGCCAGCTGCTGCAAGAGTTGCATGCTAAGGTAGAGAGTCAGAGTCCCCTCCCGACCTGGGCTACCCTGCTTTCCTTGTGGGGGTGGCGGTCCTCTTTCTAAAACACCTCTGGAAGGAGTATTCCAACCTCTAGCCTGGTTTTTCTGGAGCTGTGATTGCCATTCTCACGTCTGTGGCCTAGGTCCTCAGGGTTTTGGGGAGCTGGGTTTACAGAGGGGCCCATCCTCTCTGCCCCAATTGGCCTCTGACTTCTTCTCCCATCAGATCTCAGAGCTGCAGCCTTCTCTGCCCCCAGGGTCCCTGCAGCCCCTCCTCAGCTACTCGCTAGATGCACCCAGATGGGTAAGACTATGTGTGACTGACTGAATGTGAACTGTGTCTTCATCAGAGGTGGCTGTGAGAGGGACCCCTAGCCTGACCTTGAGACCTTTTCTCCCAGGAAGCATTGGAGTCTCTGTCCCAAAGCCTCAGAGATCAGTACCGCTGCCGCCGCTACCTCCTCCTCAAGCGCCTTGACCTCACTACGTCTGCTTTCCACTGGAGTGACCGGGCAGAGGTGTGAGCAGGGAACCGTGCAGAATTGGAGAGGCCCAGTTGTGAGGGCTGCAGTTGCAGGGAGGAGGAATGAGGGCCAGGAGTATCACCCTCTTGCAGGTTCTCAGGCTGTGGACTTTTAGAAGTTTTTGATGTTTGGGGCTCCTAGACTCTCAGGGCCCCAGGGTATTGTTGAATTCCCAGCTCTGAGCTGGGAGTGTATTCAGAGGCATACTCCATCTTTTTTTTAAATTAATTAATTAATTTATTTATTTTGAGACAGGGTCTTGCTCTGTTGCCAGGCTGGAGTGCAGTGGTGTGATCTCAGCTCACTGCAACCTCTGACTCCCGGGTTCAAGTGATTCTCCTGCCTCAGCCTCCCGAGTAGCTGGGATTACAGGCACATACCACCGTGCCCAGCTAATTTTTGTATTTTTAGTAGAGATGGGGTTTCACCATGTTGGCCAGGATGGTCTCGATCTCCTGACCTTGTGATCCGCCTGCCTTGGCCTCCCAAAGTGTTGGGATTACAGGCGTGAGCCATTGCACCCAGACCTTTTTTTTTTTTTTTTGAGATGGAGTTTTGCTCTTGTTGCCCAGGCTGGAGTGCAATGGCATGATCTCGGCTCAGCACAACCTCCGCCTCCTGGGTTCAAGCGATTCTCCTGCCTCAGCCTCCCAAGTAGCTGGGATTACAGGCATGCGTCACCACGCCAGGCTAATTTTGTATTTTTTAGTAGAGACAGGGTTTCTCCATGTTGGTTGGGCTGGTCTCGAACTCCCAACCTCAGGTGATCTGCCTGCCTTGGCCTCCCAAAGTGCTGGGATTGTAGGCATGAGCCACCACACCTGGCCAAGTATACCCCATCTTTAAGAGATATGAGCAGAGACAGACACATGGCTCATGCCTGTTATCCCAGCACTCTTGGAGGCCAAGGCAGGAGGATCACTTGAGCTCAGAAGTTTGAGACCAGATTGGGCAACATAGCAAAACCCTCATCTCTACTAAAAATTTAAAAAAAAAAATTAGCTGGGCATGGTGGCACATGCTTGTCATCTGAGTTACTTAGGAGGCTGAGGTAGGAGGATCACTTAAGCCCAGGAGATTGAGGCAGCAGTGAGCCACCATCATGCCACTGCACTCCAGGCTGGGAGACAGCGAGACCCTGTCTCAAACAATAAATATTTATTTAGAGCTGTGGGCAGTGAGGTCTTGAATGGTAAAGTGATGCTTCCAAGACAACAGGTCCCACTTTGGGAGGGCTCCAGGGTAACTTCTGTTACCTCCTTCCCACTCCAGGCCCAAGGAGAAGCCATGAGGGCAGTGCTGATCCCAATTCGAGAGGTTCTAACCCCGGAATCGGACATCTCCATCGCACACGTCCTGGCTGCCCGAGCCGACCTGTCTCGTCTCATCCCAGCCACCAGCATGGCTGTCCGCAGAGGGACCTGCTGTGCTATCAACAAGGTGGGTATCTGGGGTAGGGAAGGGCCCTGACATCCTTGGCCTTCAGATTGGCCTTTCAGCCTCTGTTCCGGTCCAAGCTTCAGACTCACCACCTCTATTCCACCCCTTAGACACGGGAGCTAGGACCTCGCTCACACAAAAAGTGACCGTGGACTCCCCAGCTCAGAATGCTTCCGTGGCTCCCTAATGATCTGAAAACAAAGTCCAGCTATTTACTGAATCCCTGGCTACCTCTCCATCTTGGGCTCAAAATCCTTCCCCATCACCAAACACTATCTATTGTGTTGTTTTTTAACCTTTTTTTTTTTTCCCAAGACAAGAGTCTTGCTCTGTCACCCAGGCTGGAATGCAGTGGCTTGATCTCAGCTCACTGCAACCTCTACCTCCCGGGTTCAAGCGATTCTCCTGCCTCAGCCTACTGAGTAGTTGGGATTACGGTCACCCACTACCATGCCCGGGTAATTTTTGTATTTTTTTTTTTGAGACAGTCTTGCTCTGTCGCCCAGGCTGGAGTGCAGTGGCACGATCTCGGCTCACTGCAAGCTCTGCCTCCTGGGTTCACGCCATTCTCCTGCCTCAGCCTCCCCAGTAGCTGGGACTATAGGTGCCCATCACCATGCCCAGCTAATTTTTGTACTTTTAGTAGAGACGGGGTTTCACTGTGTTAGCCAGGATGGTCTCGATCTCCTGACCTCGTGATCTGCCCGTCTCAGCCTCCCAAAGTGCTGAGATTACAGGCGTGAGCCACTGTGCCCGGCCAATATTTGTATTTTTAGTAGTGATCGGGTTTCACTGTATTGGTCAGGCTGGTCTTGAACTCCTGACCTTGTGATCTACCTGCCTCAGCCTCCCAAAGTGCTGGGGTTACAGGCGTGAGCCACCGCACCCTGTTAACCTTTTTTTTTTTAAAAAAAAAAAACAGAAATACCCTCTGTTTTAGTGATGAGGTATCTAGCCGCATACCTCTGTAAGTAGTCTTATGTAAAATGAGTATTAGGGAATAAAGTCTAGCACAGCAACTATTAAGGCAAAATTTAAGTTAAGAAAAAAAAATAAGCCCAAGGTGAGTGGATCACTTGAGCCCAGGAGCAGAAGTTGCAGTGAGCCATGTTCTTGCTACTGCACTCCAGCCTGGGTGACAAAGCCTAGGTAACTGTCTCAAAAAAAAAAAAAAAAAAAGAAAAGAAAGAAAAGAAAAGAAGGCTGGGTGCAGTGACTCACGCCTGTAATCCCAGCACTTTGGGAGCTGAGGCGGGCGGATCATAAGGTCAGATCAAGACCATCCTGGCTAAAATAGTGAAACCCTGTCTCTACTAAAAATACAAAAAATTAGCCAGGCATGGTGACACACACCTATAGTCCCAGCTACTCGGGAGGCTGAGGCAGGAGAATCGCTTGAACCTGGGAGGCAGAGATTACAGTGAGCTGAGATCATACCACTGCACTCTAGCCTGGGCGACAGAGCAAGACTCTACCTCAAAAAAAAGAAAAGAAAAAAGAAAACTCATGCTTGTATCTTCCACCAGTTCAGTCCCCTCTCCCCCAGCCACTGTACTCAAATAGTCAACATCTGCCGTTTCTTCTTCAGCCTTGTGTTGTTCCCTTTGCTCTCTAGCCCCCTTGTCCGAGATACTTTTTTCCCCTGCAACTCAAATCTCATAAACTCTCAGGTGCTTATGGGCAATGTTCCAGACCGGGGGGGCCGCCCAAATGAGCTGGAGCCTCCCATGCCCACCTGGAGGAGCCGAAGAGAGGATGGAGGCCCCCAGTGTTGGGGCCGCAAGAAGAAGAAGAAGAAGAAGTAAAGAGGGACTGGTGGTCGGGGACGGGGGGACCTCCGTGAGATGCCAATGCCATCGGTAATCTCTGGGGAGTCCGTTTAAGGCTTTCCTTGGTCCTTGGCACCCAAGCCCCCCCATCTCCTATTCCTGAGGCCCCAAATGCCCTACTCCCATTCACCAGTCAATACCAAGAACCATGTTCTCCGGAGAATAAATTTAATTTATGACAGCTGTAGGGCCTCTCTCTGTGGGGACCCAGGCAGGGGTGCTGGGGTTTGTGAAAGGGTTGGGGGGTCTCTGCTCCCTGGGTCTGAATGGGCCCCTGCTGCTCTGACCCTCAAAGTTCTTTGCCCTACAGCACATCTTTCCTGTGCCGTGGGCATGGGTAAGGAGACATTTCAGGCATCAGACAAGCATCTGTCAGGCGCCTACCACCTGCCAGCCCTGTTCTAGGCACTGGGGATGCAGCAGTGAAAGACACTGATAGAAATCCCTGCTCTCCTGGAGTTGATGTTCCTGTTAAGGAAAGACAGACGTTCAACGAGATAAAGAGGGAAAAAATATAGGCTGTCAGAGGGGGAACGTTCTATGCAGAAAAATAAAGCAGGGGCTGGGCGCGGTGGCTCACACCTGTAATCCCAGCACTTTGGGAGGCTGAGGCTGGTGGATCATGAGGTCAGGAGTTCGAGGCCATCTTGGCCAACATGGGGAAACCCTGTCTCTACTAAAAATACAAAAATTAGCCGGGCATGGTGGCGCGTGCCTGTAATCCAAGCTACCTGGGAAGCTGAGGCAGAAGATTCGCTTGATCCCTGGAGGCGGAGGTTGCAGTGAGCTGAGATTGCACCATTGCACTCCAGCCTGGGTGACAGAGTGAGACTCTCTCAAAAAAAAAAAAAAGAAAAAAGAAATGGAGATTTAGGGAGTTGGTGAAGTGAAGCCTGAGTCTAGATATATCCAACACAGAGCTGCATAGATACTAAGTGCAGGGAAAGGGAGCAGGATTGGCATCCACCACCACACAAGAGAGGAAAGTCACTTCTGGGGAAAAAGATGATGGACGTGCCACCAAAAGCAGCACGGATGGGAAGGCGGATGCCTTTGGGGGTCCTACCTCTGGGAGCCCTGCCAGAGTCTGACAACAGGAGTCAGGACTGACTGGGGTAAGGGAGTGAGGGATAGAGGAGACCAAGAGATGTCTAGGAATCCGGCTTGGAGGATGCAGTTGATGGTGGGCCCATTACCGGGCAGGGGACCTGGAAGGAGGAAGGGAGGAACACAGATGATGTGGAGAGCATCTGATGTCTAGGAGACACTTCACTGCCAGGAGCACTGCCCCGCCCAGACTGAATGAATGGCGCCTGTGAAATCTTTTTTGTAACCCAATCTGAGAGTCTCTGCCCTTGAATAGTGGCGTTTACTCCATTAACACTTACAGTAGCTCCTGATATATTTGGCCTTATTCTTGCTGTCTTATTGGCTAGAATCCTTTTTTCTGTTCTAGTGGTTATCATCCCCACCCTACCCCTAATATGTTGTAACTTCTATTTTTCTTTCTTTCTTTCTTTCTTTTTTTTTTGAGACAAGGTCTTGCTGTCGCCTAGGCTGGAGTGCAGTGGCACAATCTCGGCTCACTACAGCCTCTGCCTCCCAGGCTCAAGTGATTCTCTGCCTCAGCCTCCTGAGTAGCTGGGACTACGGGCACCTGCCCCTGCCATCACATTTGGCTAATTTTTATATTTTTAGTAGAGACAAGGTTTCATCATGTTGGGCAGGCTGGTGTCGAACTTCTGACCTCAAGTGATCCTCCCACCTCGGCCTCCCAAAGTCCTGGGATTACAGGCGTGAGCCACCACGCCTGGCCTATTTTTCTATCAGCATTAAAAAGTAACCAGCGGCCGGGCGCAGTGGCTCAAGGCTGTAATCCCAGCACTTTGGGAGGCTGAGATGGGCGAATCACGAGGTCAGGAGATCGAGACCATCCTGGCTAACATGGTGAAACCCCGTCTCTACTAAAAAATACAACAAACTAGCCGGGCGAGGTGGCGGGAGCCTGTAGTCCCAGCTACTCGGGAGACTGAGGCAGAAGAATGGCGTAAACCTGGGAGGCGGCGCTTGCAGTGAGCTGAGATCGCGCCACTGCACTCCAGCCTGGGTGACAGAGCGAGACTCCGTCTCAAAAAAAAAAAAAAAAAAGTAACCAGCATCCATACCCTCCCACCCCAGCAGTCAAGGACTTCTGCATATTTTTACTTTCCTATGGGTCTCCAAATCTGTCCAGTCTCCCCCAGGCCAATGGCCTGTGTTCCCTGTATCCACTTGGGGGTAGGGGCGGTTTCTCCTCACCGTATCTGTTTCCCAGGAAGGGTGTGGGGATTCAGTCTGGGTCCAGGCATGGCGAAGCTGGCACCCAGTCTCAGGTTCCAGGGATAGCGTGTAGGAGAGATTTTCCTCGGAGCCTGTTTGTGGGTGGATGGAAGGGATGTGGGTCTGATGGGAAGGGCCTCGTGACCTTGGACTCAATCCCCATCCCCCAAGCCCCTTCCCAGCACCGCTGTGCTCTAGGTCTTACCACAGCTGGCATGGGGAGCTGGTGTGCATGGAACAGGAGCTCCGGGGGGCCCTGCATCGCCCTTGCCCCCCGGCCTCTTCTTACATTCCACCTTCACTTGGTCTCTGCAGTGTCTGTGGCAACACAGCCCGCACTCTGGGGGAAGGCAGCAGTTAATGGCCAGGAGTCCGATCTGTGTCCATTCTTCCAGCCTGTGGGCCGAGGCTTCCCCCCCAACTCGCCGACACCCCACTCACCCCGACAGCGGTAGCCTTGCTTGGTGACACCCCAGAGCTGGGAAGAGAAAGGAGAAAAGGTTACCCATCCTAGGAGAGGGAGGGCTGTGGATTGGCAGGGCAGCTGGGGAGTGGAAGTGTGAAAGCTACCTAGGTCTTGGACTTCTCAAGGCTAGAGATTTAATTGGAATTAAAGGAATGTGGGTGGGGTACAGTGGCTCATGCCAGTAATCCCAGCACTCTGAGACGCCAAGGTGGGAGGTTGGGAGGCCAAGGTGGGAGGATCGCTTGAGCTCAGGAGTTCAAGACCAGCCTGGGCAATATATGGAGACTCTTTCTACAAAAAAAAGTTTTTGGTTTTTTTTTTGAGACAGAGGCTCACTCTGTCGCCCAGGCTGGAGTGCAGTGGCGCAATCTCAGCTCACTACAAGCTCTGCCTCCCGGGCTCACGCCATTCTCCTGCCTCAGCCTCCCAAGTAGCTGGGACTACAGGTGCCTGCCACCACGCCCAGCTAATTTTTTTGTATTTTTAGTAGAGATGGGGTTTCACCATGTTAGCCAGGATGGTCTCAATCTCCTGACCTCGTGATCTGTGCACCTCGGCCTCCCAAAGTGCTGGGATTACAGGTGTGAGCCACCGCGCCGGGCCTGTTTTTCGGTTTTTCTTGAGACGGAGTTTTGCTCTTGTTGCCCAGGCTAGAGTGCAATGGTGCGATCTCGGCTCACCATAACCACTGCCTCCTGGGTTCAAGCGATTCTCATGCCTCAGCCTCCTGAGTAGCTGGGATCACAGGTGTGCACCACCACGTGCAGCTAATTTGTGTATTTTTAGTAGAGACAGGGTCTCTCTCACTATGTTGCCTAGGCTGGTCTTGAACTCTTGAGCTCAAGCAATCTGCCCACTTCAGCCGCCGCTCCTGGCCTCCTCTCCAGAGTTTTAGATATTACCCATGGTTCAGCGACTATCTGGGGTGGAGATTATCTGGGATTTGGGGATTATCTGGCATTTGGAGATTATCCAGGATATAGGGAATGTTTGGTGTTGAGGGTTTATATGAAACAGGATGATTTGAGGCTGCAGGATTTCTGGAATTTGGAGGTTATCTGGGGTTTGGGGACTGCCGGCTTCAGGACAGATGGAACCTAAGGGCGGTGATGGGGTGGAGTGCTCACAAAGCCACTGCAGCTGTCGCAGAAGGTAGGCTTTCGGAAGGTGACCTCATGGAAGGTGTGCAGGAAGGCCAGGCCCAGCTTGGAGCAGATGGCACTGGCCCGGAGCAGGTACCCTGTCAGCTCCTCTCTGCTGAAGGAGCCTCTCCTGGGGGCAGAAACTGAGCCTCAGCATGGCCCGCCCCAACCTCCCCCAGACCCAGGAGTCCAGGCAACCCCCGTGTCCTCATCTTCAGGGGATCCAGGAGTCAGAACCACTTACCCCTGGCGTGGGGGCGGGTGGAGCCCATGGCAGGCAAAGGGAAAATTGCCTGAGAGTCGCTCGAAGTCCTCCTGAGAGATGGTTCCTCGGCCTTCAGGGTCATAATTCTTGAACACGGACTTCAGAGGAGTGTGGGGAAGCAGATAAGGCCCAGTTGTCGAAATACGATCCCCACGGCAATAAGTCCCCGCCTCCAGGCTCAGAGTTCTACAGATGTCTTCCCTCCTGGCTCCCGGTGGCCAGGCCACCCTCCCTTCCTTACCTCCACCAGCTGCTCCACGTGCCGACCCAGCGTGACCCTGTCCGGCTTGGGGGTCACACCAGGGGCCCACTCCACCACCAGAGGTGCGTTGAAGGGGGAGGGTGGCTGGGGTGGGGACAGAGGAGCAGTTAGTCACTGCATAGGCTTAGGGGGATTCGAGGTAATTGGGGGGGGTCCGAGGCCAGGGGTCAGGTCTCACCAGACTCTTGGGACAGCGTGGCTCTCGGGCATAAGAAAGCTCATAGATCTCGTCTTCCGTGTAGAAGAGGTCCAGGGAGAGCTGGAGCGGACAGGGGTGTTACAGATCCTCCTGTCTACAGCCCTGCCCCAGACCCCCACACCCACTTGCAGGCTCTTCCTAAAGCCCCTCCTGGGTTTAAATCCTGGCATTACTGCTGTGGGACAGTGGGCAAGTGACCTCACCTCTCCGGGCCTCAGTTTCCCAATCCACAGATTGGGCACAGTAAGGGTCCCGACCTCACAGGGTTGTAAGGTGGAATGAGGTGCCTGGCACATAGTCAATGATCAATAACTGTTAGTAGCCTTTTGCTTAGATTCTTGGATTCAAAGCTTGAAATTTTGGGCTATCAGCATGAGAAGCTCAGAACCTTGGAGTTTAAGAATGTGAACCCCAAAGCAATTCCAGAGCTCAGATCAATGGATACTTGAGTCGCTGGGGGAAGTGAAGAAAAGACATGTTACTTATATAGAATATAGAGCTCGCTCTGCTCCATATACTTTTGTTTTTTGAGACAGAGTCTAGCTCTGTCTCCCAGGCTGGAGTGTAGTGGCACGATCTTGGCTCACTGCAACCTCTGCCTCCCAGGTTCAAGCAATTCTCGTGCGTCAGCCTCCCAAGTAGCTGGGACTACAGGCGTGCACCACCGTGCCCGGCTAATTTTTTTTGTATTTTTAGTAGAGATGGGGTTTCACCATGTTGCCTAGGCTGGTCTCAAACTCTTCAGGCAATCTGCCTACCTCAGCCTCCCAAAGTGCTAGGATTACAGGCATGAGCCACTGTGCCCAGCTAGACACTGTCTTAAGGATAAGGACATTCTTTGAATGATGTCATTGGCTTTCTCTCCTCAACCATCCTCAAGGTGGGTCCCTTTATTTTATTTTTTATTTTTATTTATTTATTTTGAGACAGAGTTTCGCTCTTCTTGCCCAGTCTGGAGTGCAATGGCGCGATCTCAGCTCACCGCAACCTCTACCTCCCGGGTTCAAGCGATTTACAGGCATGTGCTACCACTCCTGGCTAATTTTGTATTTTTAGTAGAGACGGGGTTTCTGCGTGTTGATCAGGCTGGTCTTAAACTCCTGACCTCAGGTGATTTGCCCGCCTTGGCCTCCCAAAGTGTTGGGATAACAGGCGTGAGCCAGTGGACCTGGCTGGGTCCTTTTATTATTCCCATTTTGCAGATAAGGAAACTGAGGCTGAAGGGTTCAGTGATTTGCTCAACATCACGCAGCTAGAAAAAAACCTAGAAGCTCTGGCTTCAAACTCCATGCAGTCCAGCACTTTTCTACCCTGGTCCTAGAGACACTCACACACCCAGGACCCTACATCTCAGTACCCTCGGAAGCCCAGCCTGGGCGGGGCCAGGGGCTCACTGTGAGCAGGTGCAGCAGATCCTCGTTGGCGCTGCAGGGCGGATGCTGCCCTTGGAGGGCCACCAGCTCCTGCAGCCGCAGGTAGAGGTTGTTCAACTTGGGTAGGTGCAGGCGGCCGTCAGGCAACCTGTCGGGCTGTGCTTCATGCAGGGACACCAGATCCTTGAGGTGCACGCCCAGTACAGGCAGCCGGAAGCCCGTGCAGCCAGCCCAGGTGCGGCGGTAGCGGGCGTAGTTGTTGTGGGAGGCAAGGATCTCAGTGAGCTCCAGCAGGGCCTGGGGAGGAGGCACATGGGATGGGGGCGTTATCAGGGCAGTCCTGCCTCCTGAGCAGCCTCCTATGTGGGCTTTAGGCCTTCAGGGATCCAGTGCATTTTGGACACCTCTGGAGCCCTTCCATATCCCATGCTGGTGTCAGCATCTCCCCGAAACTGCTCTTCCTCTTCGGTCCCCACCTCAGAGAAGTTCCACAATCCCCCATTCTTTGGCTAAAATGATTTCTTTTATCTTTCTTTCTTTCTTTTCTTTTCTTTTCTTTTCTTTTCTTTTTTTTTTTTTTTTTTTTGAGATGGAGTTTTGCTGTCTTGCCCAGGCTGGAGTGCAGTGGTGTGATCTCAGCTCACTACAACCTCCACCTCCTGGGTTCAAGCGATTCTCCTGCCTCAGCCTCCCAAGTAGCTGGGATAACATGCATGAGCCACCAAACCCAGCTAATTTTGTATTTTTAGTAGAGATAGGGTTTTACCATGTTAGTCCAGGCTGGTCGTGAACTCCTGACCTCAGGTGATCGGCCTGCCTTGGCCTCCCAAAGTGTTGGGATTACAGGCGTGAGCCACCATGCCTGGCCTTTATTATTATTATTATTATTATTATTATTATTATTATTATTATTATTTAAGCTAGGGTCCCACTTTGTCACCCGGCTGGAGTGCAGTGTCATGATCACAGCTCACTGCAGCCTTAAACTCCTGGGCTTGATGGCTGGGTGCGGTGGCTCAAGCCTGTAATCCCAGCAGTTTGAGGGGCTGAGGCAGGTGGATCATTTGAGGTCAGGAGTTCAAAACCAGCCTGGGCAACATGGTAAAACCCTGTCTCTACTAAAAATACAAAAATTAACTGGGCCTGGTGATACAGGCCTGTAATCCCAGCTACCCGGGAGGTTGAGGCAGGCAAATCTCTTGAACCTGCCTCAAGGAGTTTGAAACCAGCCTGGCCAACATGGTAAAACTACAAAATTAGGGCATGGTGGTGCACCCCTGAAATCCCAGCTACTCAGGAGGCTGGGGCAGGAGAATTACTTGAATCCGGGAGGCAGAAGTTGCAGTGAGCCGGGATCGCGCCACTGCACTCCAGCCTGGGCAACAAGAGTGAGACTCTGTCTCAAAAAAAAATAAATAAATAAATAAATAAATAAAAAATAAAATAAAATAAATTTCTAGAGATGGGGTCTCACTATGTTGCCCAGGCTGGTCTCAAACACCTAGGCTCAGGTGATCCTTCCATCTTGGCCTCCCAAAATGCTGGGATTACAGGTGTAAGCCACTGTACCCAGCCTATAATTATTTCTTAAAAACCCAGATCTGGCCAGGTGCGGTGGCTCACCCCTGTAATCCCAGCACTCCGGAAGGCTAAGGCGGGCTGATCATGAGGTCAGGAGATTGAGACCATCCTGGCTAACACGGTGAAACCCCGTCTCTACTAAAAATACAAAAAATTGGCCAGGCGTGGTGTCTCATGCCTGTAATCCCAGCACTTTGGGAGGCCAAGGCAGGTGGATCACAAGGTCAGGAGATTGAGACCATCCTGGCTAACACGGTGAAACCCTGTCTCTACTAAAAATAAAAAAAAAAATTAGCCGGGCGCGGTGGCTCAAGCCTGTAATCCCAGCACTTTGGGAGGCCGAGACGGGAGGATCACGAGGTCAGGAGATCGAGACCATCCTGGCTAACACGGTGAAACCCCGTCTCTACTAAAAATACAAAAAACTAGCCGGGCGAGGTGGCGGGCGCCTGTAGTCCCAGCTACTCCGGAGGCTGAGGCAGGAGAATGGCGTAAACCCGGGAGGCGGAGCTTGCAGTGAGCTGAGATCCGGCCACTGCAGTCCAGCCCGGGCTACAGAGCAAGACTCCGTCTCAAAAAAAAAAAAAAAAAAAAAAAAAAAAATTAGCCGGGCGTGGTGGCAGCCGCCTGTAGTCCCAGCTACTCAGGAGGCTGAGGTAGGAGAATGGCGTGAACCCAGGAGGCGGAGCTTGCAGTGAGCCGAGATTGCACCACTGCACTCCAGCCTGGGTGATAGAGCAAGACTCCGTCTCAAACAAAACAAAACACAATCCAAAAAATTAGCCAGGCGTGGTGGCGGGCGCCTGTAGTCCCAGCTGCTCGGGAGGCTGAGGCAGGAAAATGGCATGAACCCAGGAGGTAGAGCTTCTAGTGAGCTGAGGTCACGCCATTGCCCTCCAGCCTGGGCGACAGAGCGAGACTCCACCTCAAAAAAAAAAAAAAAACCCAGATCTTATCAAGGGTGTGTCATCACTCTCAAAACTTCCCTTGCTTAGCCCATCTTGCAAGGCGCTATAGGATCTTCCCAGGGCATCTTCAGCCTAATTTCCTGCCACTTTCTGACCTCAGCCAGTCCTCCCCATGGGGACTGCAAAGTTCTCTGCTAGCCTTTCTCCTGTTTGTCTCCCTCACAGTCCACCTCTGGAACAGACACACTGAGAGCAGAGAGGGGTCCGCACCATGAGTGGATGGATGACAGGAAGGAGGAATGCTGGCAGAGCCTGGGGATCTGGGATTTGGAGGAGCAAGGACTTCAGGTGGTTCCAGGGCCCCTGGGCAGGAATGGACAGGGCTTGGGGAATTAGGTGTGGGGGCTCAAGACAGCTGACCACTTGGAGTTCTGGGGAGGGTAGTGGGATTCACCTTGGTGCTGTCAGGGCTCAGGTGGGCATGGGAGTCCTTGAGTCTGGAGATGGCACTGTGACACAGGCCCCCCGTGACCGCCATCAGCGTGTTGAAATTCTGCAGCTGGTGGAGCCTCTAGGAAGAGAAGCATGCGCACAGGGTCGTCACGGGAGGGAGTTCAGATGACAGCATCCCAGTTGAGGTGGGGTCCCAGGCATGTGTGGGTATGGACCAATGTGGGGATCAGACAGGTGAGAGAAGGTGGGTGTGTGCGGCAGGAGTGGGACATGCCATGTGTGGGCCTCACAGGGGTGTCGGATAGTTATCTGAGCCCGGAGGGTCAAGTAGGTGATTGATACCAGGTTAGAAAATCTGGGGAGACAGGAGTATGGGAAGTTGGGCGGATATGGGGAGTAGACAGGTGTGTGTCAGACACGTGGGGGAGACTTCAGACATGTCAGATTGTCAGCCATCTGGGGGTCTGACTGCTCTGAGTCACACAGGTGCGGGGAGGCAAGAAGGCACAGGCTCTGGGCAGGAGCTGGGAGCCAGGCAGAGGTTAGCCGGGCCAGAGAGATATGGAGGAGTTAGACAGATGCTAGACAGGTGTGGGGCTACCAGGGCAGCTGGGGAATTCCCTCGCCCTCCCTTTGACAAATTTGGGCAGAGGTTGCTGTGGAGAGAGTAGGGCCAGGGAGGAATGGAAAACGCTCAGCCCAAGGAGACCCCAGGCAGACGTGGAGACCCCCAGGTCTAAGGCGCCCTGCAGGAGGAAGCAAGCCAGGGAAGACGCCAGAGGAAGGGCGTGGTCTGCGTGGAAATACGCAAGGGGGCGCGGCCACAGCGGGCCAGAGGGCTTCCCTTTTCCCCAGAAGGATGAGAAGGTGTCCGGAAAGGAGGGGGAAGGGAGGGGAAGAGAAGGGCTTAGCACAACAGGGCGGGGCGGGGAGAGCCCGGACGCAATGGGGAGCGATGCGCAGTCCCGGAAGCGACCGCTGGGGCCCGGGGACTGGGAATCGAAGCCTCGGTAAAGGATGGCACAAAGGTGGGGGCATGGAAGGGAGACTCTCATTGACCTGGGGATAGAATATTCGGGCCTAGGGCTTGGAAGCCTGTCACGTCTAGGGCCAAGGGGTGGGGCCACGGTGGGTGGGACGCGGTGACATCAAGGCCAAAGAAGAAGTTACGGTCCTGGGTTGGAACGCCCAGACTGTGGCCTCTGGGGCGGGGCCGGGAGATGCGTGACGTCACCGCCGGGATGACCCTGTGAGGTCGGGGGTCTGGAAGGTGGAGGGCCAGGTAGCTGCGTGCAGTGGCCTTCGCAGCCCCAAGGGGCGGGCCTCACCTGTGCCACGTGAATGAACTTGTCCAGCACCTGTGCGCGCTGCAGAGGCCCGGGACGGCTCAGCACCATCACCTGCACCCAGCGGGACACACTGTTGCTGAGACCTACAGAGCCCTCCAGGGCGGGGCAGCCTCGTACTGAGCCCTGCAAAACGTAGCTCCGCAGGTCCTGGGGCTGGGAGCGAGGTGGGTGTCAAGGTGGGCAGTGGCGCTCAGGGCCTGCCCTTCCATGGCAGCGAACTAGTAGTCACGATCTCTGATGTCCTAGCCTGGTCTAGCCTGAATGACCTTTGTCATCTGTCCCCCCACCCTCAGGCTGCTACATGTCCTTGACATCACCATGCTCCTTTCCCATCTGAGGAGGCATGTTTAAATATAGCCAGGCACTATATTTGACAAATGATCGTATTAAGTAATTTAATCCTCATAACTCTGTGAGGTATCATTCCATTTTAGAGATGAGACAGTTGAGGCACAGAGAGGATAGGTAATTTGCCTAGGATCACACAGGTGTGAGTCAGGGTGGGAGTCTCTATGCCCTTAACTCTACACCTGACTGGTATACAGTCAGCAAAGGCAAGGACGGGGAAGATGACTTGAAATCAACCTCTATCTGTTCTGCCCAATGAGTGTTCATTTCATACCCGCATCCACTACACTGAGTACCTTTGCATACACACACACACCCCACACTCACACACAACACACTCACACACACAATTGGGACAGTTTCACATGAAGGAACCAGATTCCCACCTTCCCTTAAAATGATGATGTCCAGGTGGCAAAAGCTAACACATATGTATGTTGAAGCACATGAAACTGATCCTTGGGTAGGTAATATATGGCAATTTCAAATGGTTCAAGCAGATAGCATTTACCCTGGACCAGGCACTGTTCCTGCAAGGCAGGAACTGTTCATATCCCCTTTTTACAGATGAGGAAACTGAGGCACCATGAATTTAAATGCTTGTTGAATAAATGATAAAATATTTTGAGCACTTACTAAGTGCCAGTCACTGCAATAAGCATTTTATTTATTTATTTATTTATTTAATTTATTTATTGTTGTTATTGTCTTTTGAGACAGTGTCTCACTCTTTTGCCCAGGCTGGAGTGCAGTGGTGTGATCTCGGCTCACTGCAACCTCTGCCTCCTGAGGCTCAAGTGATTCTCCTGCCTCAGCCTCCCAAGTAGCTGGGATTACAGACGTGCGCCACCACGCCCGGATTATTTTTGTATTTTTAGTAGAGATGGGGTTTCACCATGTTGGCCAGGCTAGTCTCAAACTCCTGACCTCAGGTGATCGCCCCCCTCGGTCTCCTTAACTCATTTTCCTGGGCCTTCTAGCACACAGGTTTCAGTTTAAGACTTTGGAGATCTCTGCTGAATGACCATGCAGGTGTCCTCTCAGTCCTGCCTTCCCCCAGCCAATCCCTCCCGTACCCCAATCTCTCCCCTGCTTGGGACAGGGACGGGAGGGGGTCCTCACCGTGATAGCCTGGAAGGAGCGGAACTCCAGGTAGGTGAGGTGCTGAGCCAGCTCCCCCGTCTCCAGGTGGTCGAAAAGCAGGGACACTTTGCGCTTTTTGCCCAGGCCTGGGCTGCTCATGGGGGGCGGGGGGCCAGGGCCACCAGGGCTCAGGCTGGGGGCCAAGAGGGGCAGGGGATTGCAGTGGTTCACGGTTGAGGGCTTGGGAATGCAGAGGAAGATGGCAGAATGGGGATGGGGCAGGGGAACGGGGAGCACAGGGCTGACTCACAGGTTAGAGGAGTCTCTCAGGTTTCTCTGGGCCGAGTTGCCCTCCTGGGCCACGGTGGCCCAGAAACGACCTATGACTTCTTCCAGCTGGGCGTCCTGGTGCATCACCTCAGGGTGTTGGGTCAGCCAGTACCTGAGAGTGGTTTGGAGATGGTGAGATGAGACTTGGGGTGGCGAAGGTCTCTACAAGGGGTATTTTGGGCTGAGAAATTTCTAGGTGCTGAGGTAGGGGTCTCTAAATGTGTGTGGGGGTCCCTGGAGGGTTGGGATTTGGAGGGGCACCAGGCTTGGGGAATCTCTGGAGTAGGATGTGCATCTCTTAACACAGACTGGGGGATCTCTGGGAAACAGACTGGGGAGTCACTTGGAAGTGGGATTATTGCGAAGCAGGATTGTGAAGGGTCTTAGGAACTAGACTGGGGGCTTCTGGGCGTGAGATTTTTGGAGGGACGGAATGAGGGGGTCTTATGGGCTAGGCTGGGGTCTGTGGGAGGTGGAGATTTTGAGGATCAGAGCCGGAGGTCTCTGGGCACCAGCTAGGAGGGTCTATGGGATCTGGTTGGTGAGGGGGGTCTCTAGGAAGTGGGGGTTCTAAGGAACGGAACTGAGAGGGTCTTAGGAACCAAGCTACGGGTATCTCAGAAGTGGGATTTTGGCCTGTGGGGCTGGTTGGGTCTGTAGGAACTGGGCTGGAGAGTCTCTGAGGAATGTTTTTTGGGGGGCAGCAGGATGGAAGTCGTGGGTCCTGAGAGTGGGGATCTTGGCCCAGCCCTACCTGACCAGGTGACAGATCTGCAGCCGTCTCAGCTCCTGGGTGTCCCCTGTGGCCTTCTGGTACTTGAGTTCTGGTCAAGGCTCTGTTATCCAGGATCCATGACCTGCCTGCTCCCCATTCCAATTGCCCAGGTTCTCACGACTCTGCCCTCCGCCCTCCACCCATAGCTCACGGTCCTAGAGGATATAAGGTCAGCAGGCGGGCAGCCAGGTCGGCAGAGGGCAGCACCCAGCTGTGCATGGCCAGCACCATGTTGAGCATGTGGTCCCCGTGGCACAGGCTGCCAGCTGAATCTGGGGTGGAAGGAGGGGGACTCTGACAGAATGGCCCTCAGGCAATGCACAGCGCAGCCTCCAGATCCTGCGGGACCGCCTGGTTCAAAGACCAGCTCTAACGGTGATCCCGGCATGACCTTGGACAGGCAACCTAACCTCCCGTGCCTCCATTTCCTTATCTGTATTGTGCACGGGGCAGCATCGCCCCTGGCAAGTCTTGTTGAAGATTGAAATAGCACCAGACTGGCCGGGCACAGTGGCTCGTGTCTGTAATCCCAGCACTTTGGGAGGCCGAATCGGGTGGCTCACATGAGGCCAGGAGTTCGAGACCAGCCTGGCCAACATGGTGAAACCCTGTTTCTACTAAAAACACAAAAATTAGCTGGGCATGGTGGCACGTGCCTGTAATCCTAGCTACTCGGGAGGCTGAGGCAGGAGAATCTCTTGAACCCGGGAGGTGGGGGTTGCAGTGAGCCAAGATCAGGCCACTGCACTCCAGCCTGGGGGACAGAGCGAGACTCTGTCTCAAAAGAAAAAGAAAACAAAAGAAAAAAAATTTATATAAATATATATATAATATACATTAAATATTTATCTATCTATATATAGATATGTATGTATTTCCATTTCAGGAAAGAAGAAATATAGGTGTTTCTCTTATCTCTAATGTAGTGATTGAGTTTCATTCCACCCAGCCCTGCTCTCATTTTACCTCCAAAAACTGAGGCAGAGAGAAGTGGGTGCTGAGCCTGAGGTTAGGGCCGGGGAGGCTGCTGGGGAGAGGACACTCACCAAAGGACTGGATGCATTTCTCCAGCAGCTCATCTTCGCTGCAGCCGCCCTCGCTCAGCAGGCCCAGGTTCATGGAAGCCATGACCTTGCTGATTTCCCGGGGGCTGGGGCATGTCTTGTGGCGGCGTGTTTGGCGGGGCCGGCCCCGCCCTCCTGTCTTTCCGGTGCATTCCTGGTGGGACTTTCTGTGGGCACAGCCCCCAAGGAGTCATGGGAGCCCCTTCCTTCGGACAGACCCTAGAATTCCTCTTGACCCGAATGCCCCAAGGCACCACGGGAGAGGCTTCCTAAAGGCAAAGCCCCTGGGTTACCCCTGACCTACCAGGGACTCATGGGAGAATCCCCAGGAATATTCCAGATCCCTGGGGGAATCATGGGAGCCCTCTCCCACAAGCAAACTCCCAGGGATATTCCTGCTCCCTTCAGGGAATCAGAGAGGAAGATCCTCAAGACCAGGGGTCCCCAGCCCCCAGGACACGGACGGGTACCAGTCCGCGGCCTGTTAGGAACCAGTGGGCGAGCGAGCACCCGTGCCTGAGCTCTGCTCTGATCTGTCAGATCTGCTGGGGCATTAGACTCTCTTAGGAGCATGAACCCTTTTGTGAACTTCGCATGGGAGGGATCTAGGTTGCATGCTCCTTATGATAATCTAATGCCTGATGATCTGTCACTGTCTCCCATCACTCCCAGATGGGAGCATCCAGTTGCAGGAAAACAAGCTCAGGGCTCCCACTGATTCTACATTATGGTGAGCTGCGTAACTATTTCATTATATATTACAATGTAATAATAGTACAAATAAATCACACGATACATGTAATTAACTTGAATCATCCCCAAACCATCCCCACCCCCTTCCACAAAACCAGTCCCTGGTGCCAAAAAGGCTAGGGACTGCGGCTCAGGACTACTCTGAATCCCCCAGGGAATCACTGCAGAAGATTCCTGGGACCACTCAGGACCCCTCAGGGAATCATAAGAACTCCCTCCCCAGGCACTGCCCCCAACTTCCTCTTGACCGCTTCCAAGACATCCTGGAAGAGACTTCCTGTTGGCAGATCCCAGAATTACTTCTGGCCTCCCAGGGACTCATGGGAGGAGACCCCTGGGATCTCTTCCGTCCTCTCTAGGCAGAGGCATGGGAGGACGTGCCTTCAGGAATTGCCGCCTCAGGTCTCTAATACACACCCCTCCTTCCTCCCGCAGCCCTCAAGAGAGCAAGGCTCCTGGACCAGTGCGATGGCTCACGCCTGTAATCCCAGCACTTTGGGAGGCCAAGGTGGGTGGATCACTTGAGGCCAGGAGTTCGGGGTCACCCCGGCCAACACGGTGAAACCCCCGTCTCTACTAAAAATGCAAAAATTGGTCAGGCATGATGGCGGGCACCTGTGATCCCAGCTACTCAGGAGGCTGAGGCAGGAGGATCACTTGAACCCAGGAGGTGGAGGCTGCAGTGAGCTGGAACTGCATCACTGTGCTCCAGCCTGGGTGACAGAGTGATTTCTGTTTCAAAAATAATAATAAAAAAATTAAAGGCCGGGCGCGGTGGCTCAAGCCTGTAATCCCAGCACTTTGGGAGGCCGAGATGGGTGGATCACGAGGTCAGGAGATCGAGACCATCCTGGTTAACACGGTGAAACCCCATCTCTACTAAAAATACAAAAAAATTAGCCGGGCGTGGTGGCAGGCGCCTGTAGTCCCAGCTACTCGGGAGGCTGAGGCAGGAGAATGGTGTGAACCCAGGAGGCGGAGCTTGCAGTGAGCCGAGATAGTGCCACTGCACTCCAGCCTGGGCGACAGAGCAAGACTCCGCCTCAAAAAAAAAAAATAAATAAATAAATAAAAATAAAAAAAAAAAATTAAAAAATTAAAAAGAGAGCCTGGCACACACCTGTAGTCCCAGCACTTTGGGAGGCTGAGGTAGACGGATCACTTGAGGTCAGGAGTTCGAGAGCAGCCTGGCCAACATGGTGAAACCCCGTCTCTACTAAAAATACAAAAATTAGCCGGGCGTGGTGATGGGCACCTGTAATCCCAGCTACTTGTGAGGGTGAGGCAGGAGAATTGCTTGAATTTGGGAGGTGGAGGTTGCAGTGAGCCGAGATTGTGCCACTGCACTCCAGCCTGGGTGACAGAGTGAGACTCTGTCTCAATAAATAAATAAATAAATAAATAAATAAATAAATAAATAAAAAGAGAGCAAGGCTCCTGCAAGGAAACCCCCAGGATTTCATCTCTGCCTTTCTCCCACCCCTTCACCCCACTAAGGTAACAGACCCCTCTCTGAAGTTAGCCTTTCGGCAGGACCTACAGTTTTACCCTTCAGCCTGGGTCCTTAGATTTGGGACTGGAGAGGAAATACCAGTGCTAAATGGCCTTCTCTGGGGCTCCTCAGAGTTAGGTGAGAGGTTCCTGGGGCTAAGGCAGCTTCAAGGAAGGTGGGAAAAATAATCCTCTCATCACGAGGTCATGAGTTCGAGACCAGCTTGATCAACATGGTGAAACCCCGTCTCTACTAAAAATACAAAAATTAGCCGGGCATGGTGGTGCACACCTGTAATCCCAGCTATTCAGGAGGCTGAGGCAGAAGAATCGCTTGAACCCAGGAGGCGGAGGTTGCAGTGAGCCGAGATTGCGCCACTGCACTCCAGCCTGGGCAACAGAGCGAGTCTTCATCTCAAAAGTAATAATAATAATAACAACAACAACAATAATAATAATAATAATAATTCTCTCTGTGCCTGGTGCCTCCCAGAGGCTGCTGTTTCTGATGGGGAAAGAGGGTAATGGAGAGACAGGGATGGTGGGAGGAGGGAGGGAGCTGAATCCATGTTTCAAACGAAAGTAGAATCCAGAAATTTCTGCCAGCTGTTGTGACTTCGTGTTAGTTACTTAATTTCTCTGGGGCTCAGTTTCCTCAAAGGAAAAATGAGGATAGTCCTTGGACCTGCCTTAGTCTCCCAGGTAGCTGGGACTACAGGTGTGCACAACCGTACCCAGCTAATTTTGCGTGTGTGTGTGTCAATGGAGGTCTCACTATATTGCCCAGGATGGTCTAGAACTCCTGGCCTCAAGTTCTCCTTGCCTTATCCTCCCAAAGTTCTGGGATTAGAGGCATGAGCCACCGTTACTAGAAGGGACATTTTAAAGTATTAAATATGTCCTAGGCCAAGGAGGGGGCATTGTAACTAAATCAGCGTTTCCCTAAGTGTGGGCACCCAGCTAGTACAAAAGCATCACCTGGGAACTCGATATAAAATACAGATTCTCAGGTCCCAACCCACACCTACAAAATTAAACATCTTAAGGCCGGGGGCAGTGGTGGCTCATGCCTCTCTAATCCCAGCACTTTGGGAGGCCGAGGTGGGCGGATCACGAGGTCAAGAGATCGAGACCATCTTGCCCAACATGGTGAAACCCCATCTCTACTAAAAATACAAAAAAGTAGCCGGGCGTGGTGGCACGCACCTGTAGTCCCAGCTACTTGGGAGGCTGAGGCAGGAGGATCGCTTGAACCCAGGAGGCAGAGGTTGCAGTGAGCTGAGATTGTGCCACTGCGCTCCAGCGTGGAGACAGAGCGAGACTCCATCTCAAAAAAAAAAAAGAAAGAAAAAAATAATAAGGGTAAGCCCAGCAACCTGTATTTTAAAAGCCCTCCAGACAGTTCTGAGGCACACTCCAGTATGAGAACCACTGGTCTAGAGTGTCTCATTGAGTACTTACAGGCCTCTCCGAGGTGGAGGCTATGATTATTCTATTGACAGAAGAAAAACCCAAGACACAGAGCAGTTAAGTGACTTACCTAAGGTCACACAGCTAGGAAATTAGGCAGCCAGGAGTCTACCACTAAATTGCTGGGTGGGGAGGAAAGCCCTTTGCCCATCAGAGTGATTCTGGGGATGGCAGGAGGAGCTACCCAGGCTAGGGAGACACCCACCCTATCTGCCTCTGTGGGGACAGAAGGGCCAGCTTGCCCAGGAGATAGAAGCCCATTCTAGAACCAGCCACACAGCCAGCCACTAGGCCCTGTCCTGCAGCCGCCTGTAGGGCTCTGGAACAGCCAGAAGTGGTTTAAGAGGCAGGGGAGCCACTTTGCCCTGTGTCACTCTCCCCTCTCCTGGGCCAGGGCCCTGCAGGAGCTTGGAGTTTCCAGTCCAAGGGGATGGGGAACCAGGAAGCCCCCAGGGAGGGCAGAGACACTCAGCCCAGGCCAGGGATGGAGGTGTGGTGACAAGAAGTGGGAAAGGGGCAAAGAGCAGCTCAAACTCCAGGGACAACACGGTACAGATGCCACATCCAAGCCACTGCCGCCCTAGCTGGCTCCAGACTCCCTGAACCCTGAAGCATCCACCTGGCCCCCCTGCACCCGGTCCCGAAGAAGCCAGGCATCCTGCCACCCTGGCGAGTGATCTCCCCAGCCCTCCCATGCAGAGGGAGGCCTCAGGGTGCTGCCGGGCTCCCTGGGGAGGGTCCTCTCACCTCTTGCTGTCTTTTCTGTTCATGCTTCCTGTGGTGGGGAGGAGGGCGGGGGTCTTGCAAGAGTATGGCTCAGCTCCTCCCCTTCCCCAGGACTCCAGCTTCTCAGCCCCTAGGGAGCTGGGGCCTCCTCGGTGCTTGGGAAGGAAAGAGGAACTGCCCCTCCCCACCCACCCTCAGGCCAGGGGGAAGGAAGAGGCTGGGGAGAGACCAAAGGCCCCCCTCCCCCACACGGGGATCCCTTCTGCTGAGGTTTCCGGCACTGCTGGCTCTCCCACCCTCAAGAGCCCCGGCGGGCTCTCTATCTCCCTCATCTTTCGGTCTCAAGACCCGTCACTGTCATACTTCAATAAAAGCAGGGGTTTTTCTTTTCAAAGCATGACTGATATTTATGTAAAAACGCAACACACTCAAAAAGATAAGTCTGTCTTTCTAGAAGGACATACTCATATATATAATTCACGAAGGTTTGAATGGAAACTCACAAGACATAGTATTTTATATATTTCTTCATAGGCTTCTCTTATTCCTGGTTTAAGTGATACCATTTGTACCCTGGAAAACATTCTCACTTTCTGACTTGATTGTAACAAACTTCCACATAGCACCTACTGTGTACCACACACTGCTCGAAGGACTTTAAAAATATTAGCTCATTTAATCCTCACACAATCCACTGTTACCTTAAAAGAACATTACATACTGGGCCAGGCACGGGGGCTCACGCCTGTCATCCAGCACTTTGGGAGGCCAAGGCAGGCAGATCGCTTGAGTTCAGGAGTTTGAGACCAGCTTGAATAACACGACAAAACCCCGTTTCTAAAAAAATGTAAAAAGTTAGGCTGGCGTGGTGGCTCACTCCTGTAATCCCAGCACTTTAGGAGGCTGAGGCGGGCGGATCACCTGAGGTCGGGAATTTAAGACAAGCCTGACCAACATAGAGAAACCCCGTCTCTATTAAAAATACAAAATTAGCCCAGCGTGGTGGCACATGCCTGTAATCCCAGCTACTTGGGAGGCTGAGGCAGGAGAATTGCTTGAACCCAGGAGGCGGAGGTTGAGGTGAGTCGAGATCGCGCCATTATACTCCAGCCTGGGCAACGGGAGCAAAACTCTGTCTCAAAAAAAAAAAGAAAAAAAAAAAAGCTAGCTGAGCATAGTGGTGCATACCTGTAGTCCCAGGTACTCAGGAGGCTAAGGCAAGAGGATTGCTTGAGCCCAAGGAGGTGGAGGCTGCAGTGAGCCATGATGGTGCCACTGCACGTCAGTCCTATCTCAAAAAACAAAAAACAGAACAAAACAAAAAAAACCCACACACACATCAAAAACCATCAAAGATGGACGTAAAGCCTTTGGGAAGCCCCTCCCCATCCCCTGTCTTTCTTAAGCAGGGTGTGACCAATATGAAATGTTGTCGAGTTTCGTCCAAACTGCTGTCTGTGCGTTTAAGCACATTGTATAAACATGTGCTCCTAGAAACAGACTTTTCTTTTGAGTGTGCATTTTTTTCTTTTTACCTAATGCTCGACCTTTTTTTTTTTTAAATCGAAGTACAAAAAAGATCACCAATCATTAAGTATTTAGGTTGATGAAATGTCACCAACTGAGCAAACTTGTGTGACATTCATACAAATCAAGACACAGAACACTGTCACCCTCCACAAGCCCCTGTCTTTCTTCCCAGCACGAATTCCCACAGATCCCCACTCGCCCGAAGTCTAGTGCAGTAGTTTTGTCTCATTTTGAGCTGGATAAAAATGGACTTCTGTATTGAATCTGGGTTCTTTCTCTCCACATCTTGTTTTTGCAGTTCTTCCGTCTTATCATATTTGGTTATAATTTATTCCTTTTTTTGGCCGGGCACGGTGGCTCACGCCTGTAATCCTAGCACTTTGGGAGGCTGAGTTGGGCAGATCACTTGAGGTCAGGAGTTTGAGACCAGCCTGGCCAACATAGTGAAACTCCCATATCTACTACAAATACAAAAATGTGCCGGGCGTGGTGGTGCGTGCCTGGAATCCCAGCTACTTGGGAGGCTGAGGCAGGAGAATCACTTGAACCCGGGAGGAGGAGGTTGCAGTGAGCCGAGATCGCACACTGCACTTCAGCCTGGGCGACAGGGTGAGACTCTGTCTTAAAATAATAATAATAATAATTTCCGTATAGTCTTTCATTATGTGACAATTCCATGACACACACACACACACACATATATATATATATATATATATATAAAATTTATTTAGAGATAGGTGTTGTGGATAGTGACTAAGTGGGCTGGTGGCATGCTAACTTCCATTTTTCTTTTTTTATTTTTGAGACGGAGTCTTGCTCTGTCGCCCAGGCTGGAGTGCAGTGGTGCGACCTCAGCTTACTGCAACTTCTGCCTCCTGGGTTCAAGCAATTCTCCTGCCTCAGCCTCTCCAGTATCTGGGATCACAGGTGTGTGCCACCACACCCAGCTAATTTTTGTATTTTTTTGTAGAGACAGGGTTTCATCATGTTGGCCAGGCTAGTCTTGAACTCCTGGTCTCAAGTAATCCACCCGCCTCAGCCTCCCAAAGTGCTGGGGTTACACGCGTGAGTCACCGCACTAAGTTCTATTTTTAATCAGTCTAGAGTCTGGTAATAACTAGACACTGAAACATTTTAAGTTAAGTGAGTTATCTATACAAGAGGACTATTATGTCCTGGACCATAAAAAAAGACAAACTTATAGCTTATCTGTTTTTTAAAAATTTTTTCTTTGGTCCTGCCATCCTGACTCTTTTTTCTTAATTAAGACTCCACAGCAGGGTCTGGCTCTGTCACCAAGGCTGGAGTGCAGTGGCGAGATCCTAGCTCACTGTAGCCTCAGACTCCTGGGCTCAAGCAATCTTCCCACCTCAGCCTCCTGAGTGACTAGGACTACAAGTACACACCACTGTGCCCTGCTAATTTTTTTTTTTTTAAGTATTATTTTCCTGTAGAAACAGAGTCTCACTTTGTTGCCTAGGCTGATCTCGAACTCCTAGGCTCGAGCGATCCTCCCTCCTATGCCTCCAAAGTGCTGACTTTCCAGGCATGAACCACGGTTCCCAGCCTTCGTGGATTATTGATCAATTTTCCTGTGATGGACATCTGAGTGGTTTCCAGGCTGGGGCTGCAGTGACTATTTGAGCATCTGACTTTTGGTGAACATAGAGTGTACCATACTGTACGGCAGTACCCAGGAGTGGAATAAATGGGTCATAGTAGTTACTGTGATTCTGCCAAACATAGCATGTTAGCCAATTCATTGAAACCATTCTCTCAGAAGTATATTTTTCCACTTTTCTTTTTTCACTAAAAGAAGGCACCGTGGATGTATATGTTTTCCATGCCGGAACATTTAGACAGTCGTCGAACCCGCTCTCTTTAGTTTTTCCATCACGCGACGTTACCATAGCTTCAGACTCTCTCTTCCTGCCCTGTTTCTCCCTTTCTCCCCACAGCCCCATGGTGTGCCGTCTGACTCTCTCTCAGTCCATCTCCTGTAGCACCTGCGTCTTGAACGTGACTTAACGATCCTGGCTGAGCAGAGAGTTTGTAGTGTGGCAGTGTCTCGAGGCCCTGGGGACCCAGAAAATCCTCAGGGAGGAGGTCAGGAATCCTGGCGCTTGTTCATACTGTACACAGGCAGCCTTAGTCCCTGGGCTGGCCAAGAATACAGACAACACTAATGCTGATGACCACAAAGGAAGGGACTTCCGAATCAAACCACAGAAACTCATAAGGTAGAAAAATGATGCACATGATAACATGCAAATACAGATTTTCTTCTCTTGTTGCTCTTCTTCTTTCTTTCTTTTTTAAATTTTAAAGATGGGATCTTGCTATATTGTCCAGCTGGTCTCAAACTCCTGGGCTCATGGGATCCTTTCATCTAGGCCTACCAAAGTGCTGAGATTACAGGCGGATTTTCTTTTAACGAAGACACCATGGGACCAATATCAGATGACAGAAGGGGAAAAGGTGTTTGCAATATTTCAAAATCAAGGAGAAATTAATATCTAAAATATAGGCTGGGTGCGGTAGCTCATGCCTATAATCCCAGCACTTTGAGAAGCTAAGGCGGGCAGATCCCTTGAGATCAGGAGTTTGAGGCCAACCTGGCCAACGTGGCAAAACCCCGTCTCTATTAAAAATACAAAAATTAGCAGGGTGTGGGCATGGGTGTTGCTCTGTCATCCCAGCTACTCGGGAGGCTGAGGCATGAGAATCAGTTGAACCCAGGAGGTGGAGGTTGCAGCGAGCTGGGATTGAGCCACCGTGCTCCAGCCTGGGAGACAGAATGGGACTCCATCTAAAAAAAAAAAAAAGAATATAAAAGGAACAGCTGCAAATTACCAAGCAAAAAAGACAGCAACCATATTAGAAAAATGGCCGGGCAGGGTGGCTCCTGCGCCTGTAATGTAAGATTACATGCCTATAATCTCAGCACTTTGGGAGACCAAGGCTAGCAGATCACCTGAGGTCAGGAGTTCGAGACCACTCTGGCCAACATGGTGAAACCCCGTCTCTACTAAAAATACAAAAGTTACGCAGGGTACGGTGGCTCACGCCTATAATCCTAGCACTTTGGGAGGCCAAGGCAGGCGGATTGACTGAGCTCAGGAGTTCGAGACCAGCCTGGGCAACACAGTGAAACCCCATCTCTACTGAAATACAAAAGAAATTAGCCAGGTGTGGCAGCATACGCCTGTAGTCCCGAGGGGGCTGAGGCAGGAGAATTGCTTGAACCCGCGAGGTGGAGGTTGCAGTGAGCTGAGATGGTGTCATTGAACTCCAGCCTGGGTGACAGAGTGAGACTCTGTCTCAAACAAACAAACAAAAAAAAAGTGAGAAGAAAGCACAATGAGCAGATGACTAAGAAACCCAAAATTCTGACAGGCACCTGAGAAGATGCTAGAAATTGTTGGTAACTCATCAGGGAACTGGAAATTAAAATGACAACGAGGCTAGGCGTGGTGGCTCATGCCTGTAATCCCAGCACTTTGGGAAGCCGAGGTAGGAGGGTCACTTGAGCCCAGCAGTTCAATACCAGCCTGGGCAATATAGTAAGACCCCATCTCTATACAAAGCTTAAAAGTTAGCTGGAGGCCGGGCGCGGTGGC